GTCGCAGGGTCGCCGAATCCCAAGCAGCGCTAACCGCCACAAGCCGTCTTTCTCCTGCCAGGCCTCCCTCCTCCCGCTCTTTCTCGGCTGCTTTACGAGATCCTAATGGCCTACAATCCGTTGCTGGTTCTTGCTGAAGACCGTTTCCACGGACTTCCATGCATTGGAAAGTTATAAATCGTTATTAGATATTTGATAGGTAACATTAGGGAGTTTGTGCGCGCCATAGCGGACAGCACTATCGTTCTTCTGCGCATGCGCAGATGAATCAAAGCAATGCGAAACTTGAACGGCGCATGCGCAACAGATCGATAGTTCTTTTACGTTCCAGGGTGCACAAACTCCCTATTTTCTGAGAGTGGAACAGAATGAGGTCGTGTTCGGATGACAGCAGAACTTCACAATAGGGAGTTTGTGCCACCTCGAATGATGAAGCACTACCGATCTTCTGCTCATGTGCAGTTCAAGTTTCACACCATTTTAGGACATTGCGCGTGAACAGAAGATCAAAATTGCTGACGCCGAGGCTGGCAAAACCTCCTTTTTTATTGAGAGTTTACAATAAGAAGGGACCTCTTTGACAGCTCCTGCTGAGTCATTGCTGGTATTATAACTGCTACGTACGTCCATGCACTCGTTTTATCAGTCCATTCGTTTAGTTATCTCATTTGTAAATGGCTTCATCACTCTCTCTCTCTCTTGCAATATCATCGCCCTGCATGACATTCATTTGTTTCTCGACGTGTTAGTGGTCCCTTCTGAGAGTAATTCCGCTGTACAAATTGATGAAGCTTGCCACAGTTTTTATACTGGAACTCGGTGTTTGTGAGCGTAAGACTCCTATGTTATTGGACGTGATTTATGATTAGGGCAGTGGAGGATCCAGTTAGTCAACGGCAATTCGGATGTAGTGGCGGAACGTGCACAGGTTGCACGGATGCACAACCACCAGATAATCGAAAACAAATCTTATAATTTTTTAGGAATGCATTTTTTTTATTCAAATTACTTCCTCACTTCATGTGCTTTTGTTTTTAATTTTTTTTATACTGATAACGTATAGTAGAATTTCGAAGTACGCGCGGGCCATCTCACCTGTAGACTTAACTTTAGAAATAATGGGTGGTTGACATATAACGTGGTGCAAAGGAACCTGTATTTCAGGCATTCGGTTTATTAATATTCTATCCAAAGATGTATATACTCACTCCTAGATGGATTCCTGTTGTTTTCAAGACGAGGCCGTCCATGAGGCCATTTTGCAGGGCAATGTTATTACAGCAAGTGCTGTGTAATAGGGAGATTTTTGTTGTATAATGAATATTGTTTTATGTCTAAATTATATATGTTTTCATAATTCTGTCATTGTTGAGTTACTAGATCACTGTTGCCGTCCTGTGTCAGTAATCAGTTTTGGAAGAAGAACAATTTTTTAAGTAAAACTGTAAACGTATGACCAATATTAGTATTATATTGATGCTCAAAGAATGGAGGTTAGTTAGACAGCATAGTAATAGGATGGTGCTTTTTAGGAAACTGTAATGTAATTGATGTAAAAATATTGTGATTATTAGAAGAAATATTATTTATTTGTGTTGTATTTTCTTTGTAGGCCGCAAGGTAACATTTTGAACCTACGTTTGCTCCTACAAATATTTTATCTAAATAAAAAGTTTGCAAAAAAGAAAGAAAACACTCCACAAACATTACTTTACTGAACTTATTTCCAATAAAAATATGTCTACGTTCTCCGAGAAACACAATTACTTAAAAGCTTCTTGAATATCACGGTAAAAATTAATATTTATCGTCAGGGATATTTCAATGTTATTTCTATTTTGTTTGTTTTTTGTTTAAATTAGCTTATATTTCTATTTTAAAAGACGTTACTTTCTTATAATGTAACAGTGTATTAATACATTCAATGAAAAGGTATTAACCTTGTAAATACTACCAAGTGCCGTTAGACTGCATTTGACATTCGAAGTTTTGCTGTGAAACATGGTTCCGTTTTCGCTCTCACCTCCACCCATTAGGAGAACGCGAAGACATTCATCTAGTAAAAAGAAAAATCATACTCGAACGTCATTGATTCTTTCTCCCAGGAGAAAGCAATAACTCTCGTATCTTGCTAACCATGGAACTAGAAATATATTTATAGCTTCGTGCTTGTAACTTTTGTTTCATTTACCTCTGCTGATATAGGTGGCCTTGCTAGGGGGTATTCTTCTGTCAATGTCGCCGAAAGTAAGGAGGCATTGGTTAATTTATATGTTACTTTGTTTATCGTTGCTACGTTTATACTATACCAACGAAGTTTCGCTCATATTTTAAAATATGGTTTTAGTTGAGTCTCTATCCCCCGATGAACCAATAAGCAAAACGTATTATAATCGATCGTACAGTGCAGTGCTGACTTCAGAGAAATTATGCAACGAAGAAGAGCAGGAGGAAGCCGCACCCCCCATCGAAGGATCCGGTGATGCGTCGTCTACTTACATTAAACATCCTCTGCAGCACACGTGGACGCTGTGGTACTACGAAAATAAAAGAAGCAAGACTTGGGGCGAAAATCAGCGAGAGATAAGTAGTTTCGACACAATAGAAGACTTTTGGAGCCTTTACAATTACACAAAGTTTCCCAGCGAGTTGAAGCAGGGATGCGACTATTCGCTTTTCAAATATGGTATCCGTCCCATGTGGGAAGACCAGGCAAACCGATGGGGAGGCAGATGGATTATTAATTTGGACCGTCCGTTTCGGGACTTTGATGTCGATAAGCTCTGGCTCGAAGTATTGCTTTGCTTAATTGGAGAATCCTTTGACGATTACGCCGACGAGATATGCGGCGCTGTTGTTAATGTGAGGCCTCAAAAGGACAAGATTGGACTGTGGACCTCCAACGCACGGAACACACAGGCTGTAACATTCATCGGCCGCAAATTAAAAGAACGTTTGAACCTTGACAGAAAAATTATTATTGGATATTACGTTCACAAAGACACAATGCAACATCCTTCTTCCCTGGCAAGATGCTCTTTGACTCTTTGAAGAGATTTTTCATCGCGTTTCTTTCCTTAATTACGAAGAGTTTGAAGTGAAATATTCGACCTCCTGTAAGTAAAATTATTGATTGTGCAATTTTTAAACGGCCACAATACGCAAAAGATTTGTTGTATTTTGAACTTTTGGCGGCATAATTTTTATGGTGGTAATTAGCTTACGGAAACCGCGTGAATGATGCAAGTTTATTTGAATAGCAAACCCTGTCTTTTACAACATTTCTAATATGTCTTGAGTAATATTCTACACTATTAATTGGCTTTTGAATATACATTGACTGAGAGAGAATAATAGGTATTATGAAGAAAGTTACCCTTTCAGTGTGTAAGCTATCACAGTTGAACTACGTTTTACAATGGACAATTAATGTTAGTAAAGAAGATATATTAATACTGTGCAATGCATGTAAATCGTCAATTTGAAGGAGCAATAAATGTTTTCCTAGTCTCATTGAAAAGCTGTGTTGGCGTTTGGTGAAGTGAAGGGAGGGGAAGAGGTGCAGAGGTGAACGTGCTCGTGTTAAGAGGTGAGTCCCACTTAGTTTTAGCAAATGATTTTCGCTTTCAAAATGGATTGTATGAGATACTCTTTCCACTTCTACTATTAAGATCCCCAGAAAGTCGTTAACACACGTAAAATCGTCGACCTTATGCACAGATTAAAGCTATTATGTAACTATAGTTTTTAAAGAAAGAAGTTTGATATGGACTGCATTATAATGTTAATGTTCTGGCTACACAACGTGTTAGAGGAAGTAAATTTCTTCACGTAGGAAGAAGAGTTATCTACGTTTTCTTTACCTGTGAAGTTTTTCTGTCGAAAATTCGCCATTTTACGGAGCAAGATTATAAAACGTTTTCTCCTTCCTAAGTAAGGACGAGAAAGTATCGTAAAAATAAGTTACCAGCAATTAAAATCATTTAACTAAGAAAAATTCCTTTTTTGCGATATAATCCTTATGAGCGATGTAATCCCAGTCAGTAGAAATTTAAAGTTAATCCAGAATTCAGTTCTCAAATAAATAGTAGGTGCTGAAAATTATTATGTTCTTATCAACACATGCAAATGTACGCAAATGCAAGCAAATGCCTTTTTTTGCTAATTGTTACTTGGAATACGATCACATATCTTTATGAATTTGCCCATTTACAGTATTCTTGGCGAATTTTATTTCGCATATTTGCCCATATTTTTTTGCATACTGCATATTTTTGCGTATTATGAGTTATTTTCGGAAAAATAAGGGAAAATGGTAATATTTTATTAAAATGAACCATATCGAATTACCATAAAAAAAGGATTTTTTTAGCCTCAAAACTGTTGCCAACCAATAGATTGTATTTCGCTTGAAGCATGTGCGCCCCCAAAGGTAAGATTGTATTCCCGAGGAGGGGGCACGGGTCATTGCGCTCAGTGTCTCGGACTCGAATGAAATATAAATCTGTGATAGACGGCGATTCGCTTACATGTCAGGAATAGTTTTCCGAAAAGCGAGATCTTATATGTGGGCATCAATTCATGTGCTCTCTAGTCGTCAGTAGGACCTACCAAAGAAAGATCTCTCTACTGTGAGGTAGCAAGACCGTAAGCTCAAGGGCATATCCAAAAACATGTATAAAACTATCCCAACAGACGCACGAAGCAGTTTTTGAGAAACAAATTTCAAATTTCGTTATCATAAAATTAAACAATAATTGAAATAAATATGCCAGTCATGTTCTTTGTGCATTGTATACATTAAGTTATTTTTATAAACTCATCTCAGTTCATTGACCAACCAGTTTTTCTGAAACAAATTTAGAAGTACATTTTGCCATGAATCTTACTAATTTTTTACCTAAATATAGAATTTTTTTGTTCAATAAATTTATGTACTTTTTTCTTAAATCTCCTTTCCGTTCCCAAATATTTGGACATGAACAAATGACAGCGTCCCAATGCGTGGCTAATTAAGTGAAATTAAAAAAGAAAATTATTTTCAAAACATTTTTTCTACCGTTGATAATTTAATTCTTGTGTAAGAGATAATTCCGTCGTAACACAATTCTATTTTTTCTGCAAATATTTTGCATTGATTTTTAGTAATTTACATTTCTCCTTGTGAATTTTATACTATATATTTATTGCATACTTTAAAGATTTTCGTGCATATTATATGGCATATTTTAGGCAGATTTACTACATAGAAATCCGAGCTCTAGTCGCAACATATTGTGGCCCATATATTTACATAAATGAAAGCAAGAAAGTTTAAGTCAACTTGAGATCTCATAGTCCTACGCCAAATTTTTAGCCAAAAATGAAATAGCCTTCAGTGCGTAATGCGTATAACATATGCCTATGTCGACCGCAGCCTGAAAATTTGTGTCCCTGTAAAAAGGTCTGAATTTTGGCAGATCGGGGGCAAAACCATTTTTGTATCTATATTCCGTGTTGTTTATGTTATAGTTATATTTTGCCTTAAAGCTGATTTTCAGTATAAAATGGTATAAAAATATCTTCTCTCGAGCCCTGCAGTATGTTCGCAAAGTATAAATGTATGTGTACTCGTATATGTAAGCACGTGACGCGTCTGTGCGTACGGATGCATGCGGTACATGCCTATCGTACCCATCTTGCCGTACGCGACACACAGGAAGCCAGCCAGTCAGCAGGACCTACTTTTGACTATAAAGCGCGCGCTCACACACTCACACACACACACACAGACAGACAGTTCCCGACATGTATGGTAATGTAGTGCACATTAGTGAATTGGTGTGTGTGTAAAAGGTGAGGATATGACAAGGAAGAGGAAGGAAAGATCGCGCGCGGTTCGTGGCCCGTTTGGTACGTGCTGATGCGACATTCGCAGGGTGTTGATCAGAAAAACCACGGAAAACTACCGATCAGCGCAGCCGACCTTTAGATTTCTTCTCCAGACAGCGACTGAATTCGATCTGGCTGAGTAGCTGGTGACGAAAATCCGTCGGTATTCGAACCTACGACTTTCCGGTCAGAGGCACTGTAGTGGCACTGTGCCGCATCTCCAGGTGCACCTTATGTTGCTCGTGATGCAAATGCGCGAGTGGTATTAAAAATGTGCCAGAATGACATTCATTGATGTTCAAGAGCTCTACTTAGTTAAACAAAGTTATTGCGCCGTTGCGGAGTGATGAAACACAAGAAAGCACGGCATGGCACAGGTCAAGTATCCACTATCAGCCTAGAGTTCACATAAGATGCAGCGAAGCGATGTGATAACAGTGAGAACATATGAGAATTTTGAATCACACGAGATTGAGAAGAATGGAATCGGTGATTGTTAGGAGGCAACGGCACTTGCGGCGGGCGAGCTAGACGCTGCATAGACGCGGCGGCAGGGGAGTCAAAGACGCTAATCAAAGAAACCCGACCGGACTAGAAACTAGCGCGACTACGATGTGCGGTCTGTCGAAATGCAACTAACTATATAGCTCTACCAGAGACAAAAAATCCTTTCATAGCGCATGCCCAAAAATGTCCTCCCCATCCAAAGCTAAAAGCATTTCTTCGTCTGTCTACGCTTTTTGTCTCAACACAACTCTCTCACTCTC